CAGGCATTCCCTAGCGTTTTTAGACTTGGCTCGGTCTAAGATGCTCACAGTTTCCCCGCTGAAACTATAGTTGAATCTGTCCATGTGTTGTGAGATTAAGGAGTTTTCATTGTGTCTTCTGACTGCTAGTTGATGTCCATGGATGTGCTCTGCTAGCCTTCTGCCTGTCTGTCCTACATAGTGGTTGTTACAGTCCTTACTCTGTATGTTGCAGATGATTCCTGTTTTTCCTTCTTGGGCTACTGGGTCTTTTGGCTTGCTTAAGACGTTTTGGAGGGCTTTAGTTGGTTTGTGTGCTATGGTGATGCTGTATGGTTGTAATAGTCGGTTATTTCTGAGATGTTTTTGATGAATGGTAGTGTTATCCTTTTTATAGCTTGTGTTGGTTGTGCTGTAGTGGGTTGAGCGGTCAGGTACTTTTTGATAAAGTTGCATGGGTATACATTTTGTTGGAAGATGTTGGGTGTTCCTCTGATTTGTTGATATATTTGCTCACATCTGTCCATAACTGTGTATGTGTAAGAACATTATGTGTTCTGACCATAACTGTGTATGTATAAGAACATCCTAGAGCAAGCTAAATCCAAAAATGCTAGGGAATCCTGGAAGTTTGACTTGGTTGTATGGCAGCAATGTGGTTATCAAGTTACATTTCATAGATGTTGATAATGCCCATTTTTGGTACTAATAATACCCCAAGTAAAAGTTCTGGAAAGATTGATATGTAATTTAGGAATGAGAGAACTTGTTTGTATAGAACATGGCAAAAGGTTGTCCAGTAGATGATGACATTAGTTGTTACAGACTGTTGCCATTCTTCCTCCTAGTTTCACTCTTGTATTGGTAAAACAGTCATTATCTGATAGATTCCCTGATTTATTTAGACAATAAATGAAGCCAATTGTATGTGTTTGACAATAGCTTTTGAAACACTTCAAATTCTCTACAATTACATTTTATCATGCCAGAACTTTTGTACTCCAAACTGTTATCCATAAAAACTGTTTGCGGACAATTTCTCAGTCTCCACCAAAGGGAAAATAAAAGCAGCTATACAAAGGACTTTCAGATAGAAGGCTTCAATTAGAACAATATTGTATAATTACTCTGTGTTTATCTCTTTAATGGTTTTTCTCCAATAAAGACAAGGCAGGGAAAGCATGCAGAGCATGGCATCTGAGATTTTTTTCCACCCACTTTATCAGCAACGGCCATAGGAGGAGTCTGTATTTTCTTCTGTGTAATAAAACTAAATGTTGTGTGTGTATGTGTATGTGTTTCTGCTCTCCCTTGCTACTGTGAGTATGGGCACACTGAGAAACATAGTTCAGACTACACATGCTTGCTCTGGATCACATGAAAAAGAAGGTTTAGAAAGGAAGAGTCAGCAACTTTTCAAGCCAGTGCCTCTCCCATAGGATGCATTAGGGAGATATTTTCTGGATTTTTTCCCTAGTTTCTTGCTGGATCTGTCCCATTCTTGAACTCAATCTTTCATTTGCTGGCTTTCTCCTCCACATCAAATTTGGCACAGTTTTCAAAGTTACCCTCCTGATAGCAAAAAATAGTCCTGAATCCTGTTACATGCTTTTCAGGGGATTAGAAAGAATAATAAATGGAAGAAATAGTAAGAAAACACTATATACTAAAGGGTTTATATGTGAGAAACAAGGCCATTTGATTCCCCAGTCAACTTTCATGGGTACAATAAAAAAAATTTCTGCAATGAGTCATGAAGGGTGATTGTTACGATGCAAACCAAAAAATCTAGGGAAGGCACGCTGATGTTCTCTTATGTTTCAAATTACAATGCTCTTCACCCCCAGACAGCAAAAGCAGTGGCCAGTGTACTCTTGGGTCTCTTTCTAGCTGCTGGTGAATCCTAGCAAAGTTGAATTTCTCTTCTGCTCCTCCTGAAAACTGCAAAATTGGAAGGACTACTGTATAGGAGAGAAAGCCTCTTTCATATGATCCTAGTCTAGTAATTAGGGAAGTTGAGTAACTTCCTTTTCTAGCCATGCCACATAACTGGGCAAAGATAGTCCAAAATGCACTAACAGTGCCTTGTTTCACCTTTCTCCTCTACTCTTGCTGCTTCCAACCTTTATGGGCCCTGGCCAAGAATTAGACAAGGAACCCCCAGAGATACCCTGAGATGGGAATTTTTAGAACTTTCCACATAGGAATACTCTTTCAGCTAATAGGCCACCTCCCTATCAACTTTACCCAAACAAATGTTCCCTTCTGGCCGTTATATGTGCTTAGCTTCAACCTCCATCATGTCTGCCACCACAGTCCGGCAATAAACAAAGAGATAGCAAAGGCAAAACAGTCTTCAATAGCTGGCATTCAACCATGGATCAGTGGCCAAAAAGAAACCACTCAAAAGCCTCATGTACAGACCTCACACCACTCCCATTATCACCATTTTGACTTCTCCCCCTCGTTTCTGGCTAAACAGGCTTCATTTACTTTTAGATTTAGGGTGGAAAGAGTATTTTGCATGATGGTATGGCCGATTGGTATCACTGACTGTATCTTTTTTTTTTTTGTCTCCCACAGGACGCACTTTTCCAACACATCCCTATTTCTCAGCCCAGCTTGGAGCTGGACAGCTATCCCTCTATAATATCTTGAAGGCGTATTCCCTCCTGGATCAGGAAGTAGGCTATTGCCAAGGCCTTAGCTTTGTAGCAGGGGTGCTGCTGCTCCATATGAGTGAAGAAGAGGCCTTCAAGATGCTCAAGTTTCTTATGTTTGATATGGGCCTTAGGAAGCAGTATCGACCTGACATGACAATTCTACAGGTCCGAACTCGTGTCACATTTATTTATTTTTGCATTTATATATGAACTCCAGATTCCATTTCTATTGAACAATCACATCTGCACATTGAAATGGTTGAAGGAAAGATTTAAAAAATGGGAATGTTTTCCGTTGCATGTCTGGATGGTTTTTTGGGAGGGTGAAATGGGGATCATTTTGATCGATTTGCTAGTAGTAACTGCTCTTCTTATAGAAATTGATGAAGATTTTTTTCAAGAGTGGAACTCTTCTAGTAAAAAGGTGAAGATCACAGCAAATTATGAATTAAAACTTAGCTTCTTCGTCTGGTTGCACTTGCAGCTTACTTACGTATAGGGTGAAAACTCAGAATTGGCTCTCAGTTATATTGTCCTAATTAAGGAATGTCCTGATCATGCAGGAAGACAAACATCTATCTGATGTGAGTTTACATTTCCACTTTCCGTCACATTTTATGTTCGGTGCAGCTAAACTGAATTGCAAGATTCAGGATTAATTTGTGGTCTTGCCTGGCTGTAAGATATGATCTGCAGCTTTTGGATCCAAAGCAGAAAAGATGCTTCAGTGGGGATGTGGAAGTTCTTGCTGCACTTGTTCGGACCTCCTTGAAGAAACGGTGCCCTGTTCCTGGCCTGTATGGCAGCCACAATCCCAGCTGCCACCCCTTCCCTAACATCTCCTTAACTCACACATGTATTTTGCTAGGACCACAGCTGCCACGTGAGCCCGGGAACAGGTGCAGCCTCTTTAAGGAGGTGCCAAGAGGGACAGCAGTTGTGTCCACATCATTTCCAAAGCAACTTTTCCACTTTGGATTCAAATAGCTGCGCATCCCGACTGCATAAATAACACAGTCCACTGACAACTGCAGTGTAAAAAGCCCTAACCCTGTTTCCTCTATATTTGACTCTGTTTTTGATTTGCTTTACAGATCCAGATGTATCAGCTTTCTCGACTCCTTCATGATTACCACAAAGATCTTTACAATCACTTTGAAGCACATGAGATCAGTCCTAGTCTCTATGCTGCCCCCTGGTTTCTTACTGTGTTTGCTTCTCAGTTTCCCCTTGGATTTGTAGCTCGGGTATTTGGTAAGTCATTCTAATTCCTCAGGATGTCTTGGGATTATATTTGATATCTGCTTAACAGTTGGCCCTAGGGACAAAAGCTTGCTTGAAATTCAAGTGGTTATTCCTGTCCTTTTTGTAAGGTTAAATTGATACATACTCATCATGCTGTTCCATTCCAGGATACACAATGTTATACAGAGTACAGAAAAGGACTAACAAATAGAAAACCTTCCTCAGTTTTCCCCTTCTTGTCATCTCCTTCATTTTTCCTTCATAGACAGGTAGTCCTTGACTTACAACCACAGTAGGAACTGGAAAATTCATCGTTAAGTGCTGCGGTTGTTAAGCAAGGCATCACATGACCACACCCGATTTTAGAACCTTTTTTGCTGGGGTCATTAAACAAATCTGACTTTCCCCATTGATTTTGCTTGTCAGAAGCCAGATTGTGGGAAGATCTGTAGAAAGGTCGCAAATGGCGATCATATGACCCTGGGAAATTGCAGCCATCATAAATACATGCATGTTGCCAAGTGCCTGAATTTTGGTCATGTGACTGTGGGGATGGTGCAATGGTTTAAGTGTGAGGACTAATCACAAGTCACTTTGTTTAGCGACTGTTCGAAGCTACGATGGCATTGAAAAAATTGACTTACGACTGGTCCTTGTACTTTCTCACACCATTTCAGTCCATCGTAACATCGAACAGTCACTAAACAGATGGTTGTAAGTCGAGGACTACCTGTATTCGTTTTGCTATTCAAATTTCACTCATTCCCTCTGTGTGATCAAACTAATTCATTGTATCTTTTTTGTTCTTTTATATTCCATCCACATTCATTCAGCACCCGCTCATGCCTGACCTTATCTCTTTGTTTTTCACATAAACACTTCTTAAGTGACCCTTAAGTTTCTCCTGACATATCCAGCTCTCACCATATAGTAAAATAGGCAGGAACACATGTGCAGTGTTGCTGCTTCTTTCAACAAACATTGATCCCTTCCAATAAACCACATACTGCCCATTAGCTTTTTAATAGCTTTTATTTGTCTTAAAATGTCTCCATTTTCATACCTTTTACTTCTTTCTTCTCTTTTTGGCCCGCTTTCTCCTTTCCAACTTTTTCTGTTGAGGTACACAGATTCATCAGTTACTCAGCTTCGTTGCCATTTACACAGAGTTGATTGATTACAGTGGGGTTAAATAAATAAATAAATGCAATTATTTGCTTCATTTTCCCTGCCAAAGTTAAATTTGGATATATTAATTTTCAAATTCGTAGTCCTCATCCATACATTTTACCTGCAAATCAGTTGGGTTCTCAGTTCCCCCATCCCCAACCACCCCATCTCTAACATTACCACAATCATGCCATATGTATTAAAAAATAAATACATTAAATCACCAAAGGGACATCACACACCCTTGTCTTACTCTGTGCTCGGCACTGAGCATTTCATTCGCACGCATATTTTTGTTTCTATCGTATGCTACTCTTATCACATTCAGGAACCAACTTTCAACTCCAGTTTTCACAAAACTTTCCATAATTCAAGCCTGCTTACTTTCTCATACACTTCTCTCAGTCAACAAACATAAACTGAATTTTCTTCCTCTCCTTCATTTAGGAACTTAAGAATGTAAGGAAACCAAGTAATAGCAGGAAACAAAAGAGTTTTCTAAGGTCACATGGCTTTAAAAAGGTGGAGACAGATTGTGAGAGAGGACAGTTGTGCAACAAGAGCCCCCTTGCTTTTCTTCTCCTGTTTTTTCCCCTGCTGGGAAAACGTCCCTGCCTTTACCATTTTTACTAAGCTAGTCCTTGAAAAATGGGATCTGGTTAAAGCAGGAAGGTGGGGTTGCAAAAGTCACTGAAATCTTGACAGTATGGGAAGAAAGACTGGAGAAGAAAAGAGTTGCAAAGGCAAAAACTGGCAGAAAGGGGGAGGAGGAGGAGGAGGAGGAAGAGAGCAGTAGTTGAGGAAGAGAATGCAAAAACACAACCTTGTCCTAAAGGAAGAATTGGGGCTAGTGGTGGCAAGCAGCCCACTTAGAGGATTCAGGAGTTTGGAGAGTCATATTAGGATTTCCAGGATGGATGCTGAAGTGTCCTTTGTGATGTTGGGCAGTTTCAGTGGCCTTCAGCAACGAGGGGCAGAAGCCAAGATAGGTGGTAGTACATGGGGAAGTCCCCTTGGAGATCTCAGGGCAGTCCAGTTCCAGAATGACTTTAGTGATGGGCTGGGTCCTGAGAATCCACAAGGAGGAAGAAAGGAGAGGAAAGTGGTTAGTATCTCCATTCGTTGGAGTGCCAAGTAGCCACTGTAGAGGAGGCCCAGGGTATTTATTGAAAGGCTAGGCTGATTGGAGTCTAACCACATCAGCCATAATCAACAGCCAGCCACACCAACAGAGAATGATGCCAGAGGTGGCAAGAGGCCAAGCCAGAGTGGGTTAGATGCGTTGGGACTTTGACTGCAAGGATGAAATTGGGTAGTCTTGCGATAAGATTCAAGTAAAGCTAAGACAGAAAATTGAGGCATAGGTTAAAAAATAGAAAAGGTGGGTTAAAATTAAGATAGAGGAGATGGTAGAGAAATTTAAACCAAGTTTCTCTTTGGCATCAAGAGAAAGAATATAAATAATATAGTACCAAGTATAAAAAGCAAAGAGTGAAAGGTAGCATGGTTAAGACAAGCTGGGGTTGTTTAGGGTCTGCTGAGGGTTTAAGGACTAAGGATAAACTAGAGCGACTCTTAGATGGAGAGCTCAGAATTATAGCAATAGATTAGAATTAAGATACAGAAGGAAAGTATGAAGAACTTGAGTTGAACTTGAAAAGGAGCTGAATTTGAAATTCCTTATTCCAGCCAGTACCTGAGGCTGGTATAAAATGAGCCATGATAAGCCTCAAGAAGAATGCTATAAAACAGGGGACAAATGTAGAAAAGGACATGCACAATGGTGTGAGGCATCTCCCTGGGAAGAGAGGATACAAGCAGACAGGAAACAAAGTTAAGAAAGGAGAAGGTCCTATAGAAATATATAATATTACGCAGGGTGTAGAGCTAGACATCTTTTTCTAAGCCAAGTATTAACTGGAATGGGTTTAAGCAGGGAGTAGATTTATTCATGCACAATTCAGCATCATATTCATTTTAGTTTAGGAAGCAGTAAGTTAGTAGTTAGGGTAATTAAGCAGATGAATTGGCAACTGTTTGACAATTACAGGAACAGAAAACTGATACAGATGATCATTTGATCTGATCAGCACCACTTTTTTCTTGTTTTAATTCCCATCAAAAGTTGGTTAGTTAAAATGGGGGAAAATCATTAAAAGGTATGATGTCTTATATGTAAAAGTATGTCTCCTGAAGTAGAAGCAACACAAGAATATGTTAAGGTTGTCTTTTTGGAAAAATATTCTAATTTGACAGACCTGTGAATTTTCACTCCACATTCAACAAATATTTGGGAGCCCTGCTCTTATTCTAAATCTAGGTATTTCACCATCCATATGTAATCAGATTGACATTCCAGGTCAAATGTTTGATAATACACTGTAACATTTCCTTTTATAGTCATACATAAAAACAATTATGAACTTTGGCATTATTTATCATTGTTTTGGTTGAATGCAAATAAACTAAATTATCTGCTATCTGTATATAATCCACCCAGTATGTTTTTAATAGTAGTTTTTTTTTAATTATCTTGCATTTTTAGTTTGGTTTGCTTCTTGCAGAAATACAAATGCAGCTTGCTAAGGAAAACCTTTGAAAGGAACTGTGCATATTTGACAGAGACAGAGACAGAGAGAGAATGAGACTACGAATAAAGAATGCCATCTGTAGCTGGTTTTAACAGAGTTTTCAAAAAGTAATTTGGCTTTTAAGGAAAAATGTTATGGTATTCACTGTTAATGGGCATTCTGAAATGGTAATTTCTTGTAATCACATGTATTTAAAATTGATCCAATAGCTTTCTGCTTTAACATTCCTTAAGAAGACTGAACCCTGCCAATGGCTAAGAATTGAAAAATGAAATAAACAATGGTCCAAATTAGATAAAACATGTAACAAACTCACTGATTCCAGCATAATTTTGCAGGAATTTTTCACTTGCCCATGGAGTTTTCTGCAAAGATAAGGGCTGTGCAAACTTCAAAATGGATCTGGGAGAAGTGCTTTGGACCTCTCACGAGGGCTGCTATTCATTAGAAAGTGTGCATCTCTTGTTTAGGCTTCTGTATGAGCCTGAAGTAAGAAAGGCTGCTGCTTTAATGAATTAAGCCATTATAGAAGTGCATCTTTGATTAAAGAGGCTTAAGCAGGGCACCTTTTTTTTTTCAGGCTTGCATCAGTCATAAAACTTTGTGTGAACTGGCCCATCATGGCTTGATCAGCAGATCATGATTAAAATCATGGCTTAGTATTAAATACAAATTAGGGCATGTTCTTGATTAGAAAGAAGCATAAGGTAAGATTTTCTGCTACAGGTATAATCCAGTAAATCCAGGGATAACAGGATGGGAAGAACTAGTCTCTCTTTTTAACATTTTAACAATCCTGGGAAGTAAGTTAGTATGTAAGAGAATATACCCGGCCGAAATCACAGAGATTATGATTGACTGAACATTTGCACTGATACCAATGTACAGTATCTTTCTACCAACTTTGGTCCAAGTTCTCTCAAGTAGATCTCATTGACTTGGAGAGCAGTTATTATAGCTGTAGCCAGAGAATAAATGAACAGAAACTCCCGGTAAAAGAATAGAATCCTCATCTTCAGATCCTCTCTTCTTAACGTTTCTCCTTTGTTCTTCAGACATGATGTTTCTCCAAGGATCAGAAGTTATATTTAAAGTGGCTTTAAGTCTCTTGGGAAGCCATAAGCCTTTGATTCTGCAGCACGAAAACCTGGAAACAATTGTTGATTTCATTAAAAGTATTCTTCCAAATTTGGGCTTGGTACAAATGGAAAAAACCATTAACCAGGTATGCAATTAAGTATTGCCAAGGAAAGTATAAGCTGCAAAATTTAGAACAGCTTCTTCATGTAATTTATACCATTTTTCCTAGCTGAACTGATTTGCTGTAGCTAATTTGGGGAGTTAAGATGTAGGAATTTCCTTTTACAGGATTAACATATTTCTAAACAATGGCCAAATCTATTCTAACATGTTTTGTGTAATGGTCAGTATTCCCTACTGTGTTTTCCTGTTTTATTTGGACTGGAATAAGCTTTGGATGCTGGAACAACAATATCCTATCTTTTGCAGAAATTGATGTGAGTACCCTGTTTAAGAAATACAATACAATATTGCGTGAATGTAAAAAGTAAACAATTGAAAGCAGTACAGCAGAGTCTACTTCAATGCAAAATCATTTTACAAGAGTAAAAACAACAGGGAGGAATATCACAGGGCCTATAAACCAAATGATAAAAGTCAGTCCTCTTAACTCTTTCTCATTTCTGTAAAAATGGATTCAAATCAGAGTCTCCAATCTCAATAGCCTATCTGTATAAGCATTCCACTTTCTAAGCTTCTGATTTTTCTTCCATGACAACATGGAAGAAGGGGCTATACAGTGCTTCAGATTTGAAGGTAAGCACTTGGGCACAAAGATTTTACTAGTCTGCAACTCTTTAAAGCAGCTGCGTCTTTTCTTGTTCTCTCTTATGACTCTGTCTCGCTTTCAGTTCATGATCTTCCATTCAGTAACAAGGTAATTATAATGTACCTGGTGAGTTAGATAACATGAATAATGAAAGTTCAACTTCGTAATTCATTACATCATTGCTTCGCAAGATGGATTATTGGTTATCATCTTGCTGCTTGCTAGGAGCCCTTTATCTGTGCTTTAATTATGCAGGGGGGGACAGCTTGTTTTTTCTTTGATGCTTAAAATTCTAAATGCTGAGTATTCAAAAGAATTCATTTTGGTTTTCAAATTCTAACCTCCCCCCCCCCCGCCCCAAATATTAAGATCCTAGCAATTGGATGGCTAGACTTTCTCTGTATTTTTCCATTTTTGGAATTACTATGTTGGGTTAGGCAAAGAGTCTTATAAAAACAATATCAGTCAGTTCATGTAGTCTATAAAAAGTAGGCTATAATGTAGTCTATAAAATACTATCAACTGAAATAACTGCAAAACTATATTTGATGTATATCCCCTTTTATTCAGAAGCCAAGTCACCCAATGAACTTCTGAAGCTGAGGGTAGACTAGAATCTGGGTCTCCTTGTGCCAGTCCAACAGCATAACTTCAGTTCCACACTGACTCTTGAGCTGAGAGAGAGTGACTGGCCCAAAGTCCTCCAGGGGTTTCCACGGCTGAGGGGAACTAGACCCTAGGTCCCCTGACTCCTAATACAAGGCTTTAACCACTACACCACACTGATATTTGAGAACATCTTTCAAGGAGATTGATACCAGTTTTAGCTCAAATTATCACTGTTATTGGATAATAAGATCCAAGACCAGAAAAGAACTTCATGGTAGATAAGAAATTCTGCTTAGGAGACTGTCTGCATTCTCAGATACCTCTGATTTCTTTTATATGGTATTATGACCCAAACTTGATGTTACATAGGACATGTGGTTTTCTATTTTTTTTTCTCCTTTCCTTGCCAGGTATTTGAGATGGACATTTCCAAACAGCTACAAGCTTATGAAGTTGAATACCATGTTCTTCAGGATGAATTAATAGATTCTTCTCTCAATGACAATCAAAGGATGGATAAACTAGAAAAAGCCAACAGTAGTTTACGGAAGCAAAACTTTGATCTCCTTGAGGAGCTGCAGGTATGGACTGCTCTTTATGTATTGCACCTTAAACAAGATATTAAGGCAAGTAAACAGATATTTGTGTTTATTTCTGCTGGGTGCAGAAATCAATAATATCAATAAATCAACAATAAAAACATTTTCATCTGTCAAAAATTATTTTGCACAATTTGTTCTATAAACCAAATGGGATGGCTGTAGGATTTCACAGTAAATTTCAAAATGATGTTCCTGAACATCCCACTAGTAGATTTAAGGCTTTTACGCACCTGGAATATCTCCTGCACAAGAAAGGAGTTAAAGGTCTCTGTCCCTCAGTGGTGATATTCAACTCCCAGGTTGCACTGCTTCTAAAGACCAGGGGTTTTTGGAAGTAGGACTTCCCTAAAAACTGTGTTGACCAACTTTCCTTTGCTCCACTTTGACTAAAGAAGTCTCTCCCCTTGCAAGAACTCAGTTGGAGTCCCCCCACCCTTGCCCTTGGGGACTTTCCTGCTAAGCATGGGACTGGATGGGATCTTGAGGGAAACAGCAAGAGTTAGACTTGAAGTCCACAAGCTGGAAGAGTCATCCTAGCAGATTTCCCATCCTTGTTGCATGCCAAGGGTATATTACAGAATTGCTAAAGAAGAAGAGTTGAAGGGAATGTATTTGAGGAATCACTATTACAAGCCCTAGGAATTTCTGAAATACTGCAGTCATTACTCACCAAGGTATACACACAAAAGTAGCAAAGCAGAATCCCTCCCCCCCATGATTAGATTGTTCTTTTTTCTTTTAGATCTAAACATTCGCCCTGATACAGATTTATTGGCTTTCCTACATTTTTTTCCTGCTCTTTATTAGACTAAAGTCATTCTGGAACTGGATAAAGATTTAGAAAGGATGAAGAGAATATTATCTAGAAGAAATTAAATGTTTTATCTCGTAGCTACATTGCACCAAGTATGGTTTGTCCATGTATGGTAGCCAAAACCTTTATTGACCTGGTCAGTGGTAACATCTTAATGTCAGAGTTTCCCAAATTTCAACCCAATTACTTATACCCTATAGGACTTAAAACATCTACTGCAACAGGAAGTTCAGCTGATTCATATTGTCCTGGTATTAGTTCCCATTCTGGAACAAGGGGAAGCCCCAAATCTGAATGGGATTTATGTGTGTCAATTAGTCAGTGCATCTTAAATGGTGTTTTTAACTCCATCTTTATTTGGCATGGAAGTTGCAATTTGAATCATGAGTGGGTTCATATGAGATGGGGGGAGACCTGTTGAGTGCTTAGGCCAGGGGTAGTTGCCCTGGTGGCCTCCAGAAGCTTGGACTACACCTCCAATGTCCCTTGTCCTTGGCCATGCTCACTGGGGCTAAGGATAGCTGAAACCTGATGAGGCACCCTGTTGTTTACTGCTGTTATATATTTGTCCATCATCCTCAGTATACTTATTTCCTGTTTATTCTTTCAAGGTGGCTAATGGAAAGGTCCAAAACCTAGAGGTCATGGTTGAGGCTTTGCTTAATAATGAAGGCAAGCTGAAGCAGACAATCCTCACGCTAGAACTGGAGAGGAAAGCATTGTTACAAACGATAAAGGAATTCCACATACAGCCAGCAAACGCCAGTGGAAAATCTCTGCTCCCTGAGCAAGAACGTATGAATGCTGCTAACTGAGAATTTCAGGCTTCATGGAGGAGAAAAGGGGAGGCCTATTTTCTTAAGCAACTATTAGAATTTTTCCTAGTGTCCATGCCTTGTCTTTTTTTCTTCTTCTTTTTCAAATCATGTTGCACAAAGGAGAAAAATGTTACTTATGCGGAAGCTCTTGCATGTCTATATCCAAAATTCTTTAAAATAATACATATACGAAGTACAAGGAGCAGAAGGATCTTTATGCCGCCTTTTTTTTTCTTTTTCTTTTTACTGTAATTTGACATATTTCTACTTGGTTGTAAACTTCTGGAGTTCCATAACTCCAGTAGGTTCTCTACCGTAAGCGCTTTTCATTCCAACATTTTCATCACATCTACACACAAAGCATTTTGGAAATTCCATGTTAAACATCATGGGCTGCAAACTTCTCAAAAGATTTCAACCTTAGGAGCACTCTGGAGTGATTTGTTTCCCCTGCTTAAGGGGCTCACATTCATTTGTGACTGAATTTCTTTCTCTGAAGCAGAAAGTGGATTCTATTTACTCACATTGTATTTTTAAAACTCTTGCTTGGGGACACTGACCTCATGAACCACAAGAAGCCAAATGTCACCATATAATTTTGGGGATTACTCTTTGCTGTTGTACATGTGATAAATATGGATTTTTGTTATTTTTAACCTAACATTGTAGCATGGTTGAATGCTCCAATAAGAGAGATCAGGGTCAAGGTGCAATCTTTCCCTTCTCTCTGTATTGGCAGAATCTGAAACTTTCATATCGTTATGGTTGACTATGCCTTAAAATGATATTTTATTTATTTGTGAATCATTGTGTTATAAGCCCTTGTTTTCTGAATGCAAATCTAATGATTTTCAGTTTTAATTTCAATAGTTAAATCAGATAGCAATCAATTGTAATTTGATACACTTCAAATGTCACCTTTAAACATTCTGGAGGTACTTATTGATTGAATGAAAGACCTAAAATATTCCTATATATATCTCCCTTGGAAGTAAATTACACTGAACAAGATTGCAGTCTTAAAATAGTTTTATACAAAATAGTTCTATTACTTTTCATTAGGAGTGCAGGCTCTCCATTATGCATTGAAAATATACTTTTTTTCTGTCTGTTGAAGTGTTTTGGGATAGTTAAAAGACTTCAGGTATTCTGCAAGTACTATAGGGTTCATCAGTGCGCAGCTCCAAGTTTAATCAAAACGTTTAATCAGAAAGATCAGTTGATAACACACTTTTGTTTGTTTTCAAACATATTTGCATGTTGGTGATTTTAAAGGTTTTAACCTAGTCATGTAATAATGTGAGACTCAACGAATGGTTTTCCACTGATTGCCGTAGACCTGCACTTCTAGGCTTATCTGCACTACAAACTTTATTTAATAACTACTTCATCCTGCAAAAAGACAGTTCCACTGTAAGGAGGACATAATGGTCTCTGAAAGACAATTTTAAATATCCTTGTCAGATTAATTCATTTGATCCTTGAAAGAAAAGTAGAACAAACTAGCATGTCTCCTATATGTGATGTAGTGTGGTTATTTCTTAAGTAACAGTTGGCTGCCTTAAATAGCAAACGTTCCTTGTTTCTGAAAAGTTAGACTGGCTCTTGAAAAATAATTGTTGCAAATTCACCACATGGTTTTGCATTGATAAATATTGGAAATGACAATCTATGAACTTTTTGTTATTTGGTTTGGTGTTTTAGGCATCATGTTTTTCCATAATTATTTCGTATTGGCAGCATCAGACATTTACTTCCATAACTATAAGCTATTAGGATGCCCAACAATGTTGGATTTGGACTGACATGATCTGATCTATAAGTTTTTTAACACTTAAAAAAAGCAATAAACATCTGTTGAATACTGCCAAATTTATTTTGTGATGCTCCAAAATCCAGAACAATTTCTTCTCTTGCACACCCTGCGATTTTTAAATATGAAGAAACTTTCCACAGAAGAGGCTGCAAGTGTATAGGCCTTGTGCTTTCTAGATTATGGACTGATGATCCTTCCTACACAATGATTCTCACCATCAATATGATTTGTCAACAAACTCTTCAGCATTCAAGGCTTCTACCACCAATTAAATGCTTTGTCCCTATGCCTCCACTTGGAAGAAGGAAAGCAGGCAAGCATGGAGACTTCAACCAAGCCATGCTTGCATCTGGATCAGATGGGAGCTCCCTAGTTGCATGAAACTGCATGGTATATCAGTATAAAGGAAACAAAATCTTTCTACAATATACTATCTTTCTAGTATATTTTTTAAAATGTAAAGACACTTTTAAGTCAAGCTTGATTCCTAGAGACTCCATCCATGGAGTTTTTCTGGCACAGTTACAGAAGCTGTTGGCCATTGCTTTCTCCTGGGATGTTTTTCAGCTTCTTCATCTAACCTACAGTCTTGGAATAGCAAGAGTCTCTTCCCCCATTCAGGTCCAAATCAAGCCTGAATCTGTTTAGCTGAGATCATCCCTGGTCATTAGGAGCTGCTACCATATTATATTTTGGTTTCTCCTTGAGGGTGAGAATGCCTGAGATTTCTTACAAACATGGGATGAACCAACTTGGCAAGGATTCTCTCTCAGGCTTACTCCAAGTATGTGACATCAGACCTTCTAATATTTTTCCCAGACACTATAGACCATTTGGTGGGGCTACCAATTCTAAGCTGCAGAATGCCGGTAAGCGCGAAAAACCGCGCGCGCCCAAAACGGGCGCGAAGCAACGGAAACCCCGCCTCCTCGT